TGTGTGTGTGTGTGCGCGCGCGCTTTCTCCAGCAATTTGGGCTAGCTAAAAGGTTAAGAAAAATGGTCCTTTCATAAAATTTAGCTTTGAAATGAATATACATATTCTTTCATCCAACACTAAAGTACTAAATCTTTGAGACTGCATCATGGAGTGTTCTATTAAAGTAAAGAAATCTGGAGAAGGAAGCCAATACTCTAAAAGTCATCCTCTTGGTTGAGTGGAGCGTTAGTGCATGCCCCTCTCTAGGTCCAAGTTGTGATAAGTATGCAAGTTTGAGAAGCACAATTGCCTAAATCTGGTTACTGAGATGCATAGAGGACTAGCTCCAGTATTGGATCATGTCAGGAGCTTTTTGCCAAATGCCTTCTAACATTTTCATAAGTGAACATTCTCTGTTTACACTGCAACCATTATTCTCTCTGACTGAAGGAGTTCTGGTTGTAATTCTCCCAAACTCATATTTGCAAACACAAGAGGCTCACATTCTTGAAGCTGAAGCTATTCTACCCACAGAACATCCTATAACTTGAAATCACAGCTTGAAAATGCTGGGACACAGGACATCCTATAATACACACCATTTTCTGTGTCTACCCCATCCATAGGATAATTAGGTAAAAGCAAAATTTGCAATCAAGCTAAATATATTTCCTGATTATTGGAGTTACATCAGTCTTCTTTATGGAACCTCAATCTTGGAAGGAAACAGTGGGATTATTGAGGCCAAACTCCTCATTTCACAGATGGAGAACCTAAGGCTTAGGAAAGGAAGAGATTTATCCAAAGTGCATTCATTGTATAGATTGAGCTAACTTACATCCTTATCTCTTGACTACAGAGCTCTTGTTCTTTCCACTACAGTGGATGTAACAAACTTGGGTACTAAATAATGCTGATTTCAAGCTGTCCAAATTGGAAGGGATATGGTTCAGCATCTTGAACTAAACTAGATATAGAAACTGGGCAGATCTAATCTGCTTCTGTTAAGTGCAAGCAGAATTCTAAACCTTGTGCCTTAAGGTCTTTAAGACTACAAGGAGAGAGTATTCCTGGAAGAGATGAGCTCTAGATATCCTTTCCTTCCTCACTGGGGAAGGGGCCCCACAATTACCCAGTTGTTTCATTCAAAGTGCATATGGGATTAAATATGGAGAACTTAATTGTTGAGTTGTGTTGCCCTGATAAGTTGGTTTCTCGGACATGAGGCATTATTACTAAAAGATGACTTGGTAAGTCCGGAGAGGATTCTCCTGCCAAAGCATCTGGGGAACAGAGAATCTGAGTTAGTAGAAGGTTTTAAAGTGAGACTTCAGATAGTTGTGTTTAAAACCAAGAAAACATCACAGATTAAGACACTGTGATGGAATCTGGCAAAAGGTTTACTTGAACTTCCACAGAATTCAAAGGATATGGTGAAGAGAAGAAGAAGATACTCACGTATGACAACTTCCTGTGCTTGAGTGGGGTTACCCACAGGAGAAGTAGTAAGCAGGGGGAGCTGGAGGTTTTTGTTGAAGACCGCAGTTATGGCTCAATTAAACATCATTAAGTCCTAGTAGAAGGAGCTGGAATATAGGGATCAGATGGCTAAAATGTTTCTGGAAGGATGGTGAAAAAGAAAGAGGAGGTGTTGGTGACTTGATTAATTATGCATTTAAGAATAGCATCTCTGAGGGGGGGAAATGGATTCTTTAACCTACAAAAAAGGAGATTGATATAGTAACTTAGTGTCTTTAAGTATTTGAGAGTTATTATGTGCATTATGGTAACTATACTTATTTATCTTTAAAAAGAATAGAATAAGGGCTGAAGCTGACGTGGGAGAGATTTCAGTGAAGAATGATGAACATTGGAATGTTACCAAGGAAGTTTGCAGAATTTCCTTGCCCAGAGATCTTTAAAAATTGGCTTTAGAGAAGATAGTTGATAAAACAAAACTTGTTGGTTCCTCCACTCTCTACTTCTCTCTTCTCTGCCTCTCCTTCTTCCTGGTATCTGTTTCTGTGTCTGTCTGAACATCTCTGCTTACCCAAGCTTCTTCCTATTCTTCATTCTCAAGTAGCACAAACCTTACCTTAACATTCACTTCCTGTACATCCTGACCCCTTTAGAAATCTTCTCAGAGTTTATGAGCAAAGAGCCTTCAGGAATATTGTTCCTAAGGCCAGGCTACCCTTCTAACTTTCTCTTGTTATCCACATCAAGTCTACCAACTAGACAATAAAAACCCCACTCTTCAACAATAGCCCAGTTTTTTAAAAGAGTGACCCAAAACATCCATCCACTTGGTAGTTCTCATTTTTTGGCTCAGCTGAAACGTAACCCACTTTTCGAGGTCTTCCTGTCCTCTTCGTCACTTTACCCTGACAATAATGTAGCATTTCTACTGTATTCTGATAGTGTCTGTTTCCCACACTAAACTATCAGTTCCTTGAGGGCTATATATTTCTACACCCTAAAACCTAGCTAAGTGTGGCAGTTACATAATCTCCTGTCAACTTGAGGAAGGGGTGGAGTCTAGCCTGTCAATTAGGTTGCAGCTTGATGACCTAATTTGGAACCGCGAAGGCAATGAATAGCTCACTGGAGGACAGACACACTCTTTGCTTTGTCTTCCTGCTGACAATATACATGGAGCTACAGTGATGGATCCAAAGCCCTGGAGCTGGAGAAGCCTCATGCAGACCCACACCAGCGCTGAGATATTTCCACTGCCATTGGATCCAAAAGACTTCCCACACACTAGTCTATGATCTGCTTGCATTCACTATGATTGCATGTGTTACGTGAGTCTGAAGAGGAATTTATAGACTGATATCAGACATATGGGCTAATATCAGACTTATGGACTTGATCTGGACTGGGCTGGGATGTTTTCTCAATATACAATTGCTCTTTTATATAAAGCTCTTTCTTATACACTTATGAGTGTCTCTGGATTTCTTTCTCTAGTCAACCCAGACTATCACACTCAGTAAATGTTTATTGAGTGAAAGAGGATAGAAAGGTGTAAGTGTGTATGTGTATGTATCAAGTGTGTTGTTCTTTAATAGCAGGAACTCCCAGTAGGCAGACATTGAGAATCTATAGAACTCCTGACAGTATAATCTTAGTAGCAAATAATTAAAAATTTAACCTTGAATCTTTTTTAACTTTTTATTGTGAATTAGGTTAAGTTTTACAGCGCAGATCAACAGCTTTACACTCAACAGTTCATACACAGTTTGTTTCAACTCATCCAGTACAGTCCCCTCAATGGACATCACTTAGCCCACTTCCTCCTTGAGTTTTCTGTTTCCATTCCTCTTCCTTTCCCAACTTTTTCTACTTTGTCTTTAGGTAAACGCTGCCATTGGTTTATCTTAAATGGTCAATTATTCTATCAGGCTGTGTTCCATTCCAGACCTGAAGAGTGACTAAGGGCCATACTGTTGGAGGTTCCACCAGTCTCTATTTGACCAGTAAGCTTGAGCTCTTATGATTTAGGGTTTTATTTTACATTTTTCTCCCACTCTATTCAAGACCGTTTAATGTGATTCTTTTCAAAGCAGTTGGTAGTGGTATCTGGGCACCATCTAGTTCTTCTGGTCTCAGGGTCATGGCAACTGATGTTTTTGTGATTTACCCAGTGGAGTAAATATTTCCATATGCCTTTCGACTTGAATCATTTTTCTTTCCTCTGTATGGGGAGAGCACCTTTGATGGCTGCTCACGAGCTTTTAAAACCCCAGTTGCTCTCATGAAAATAGGATGGAGAACATTGTCTTTATAAACTACATTATGCCAATTGACATTGGTATGCCCCAATTATGGTCCTGATCCCCAGGCCCAGAGACTCATGTCCCTAAGGTGCTTGATTATAACCCCAAATCTTGCTTTTTTAGGAAAGAAGACAGGACCTCCTGGTCCCAATGGCCCTCCAGGACCTCCAGGACCTCCGGGACCTCAGGGACCCCCGGGAATTCCAGGGATCCCTGGAATTCCAGGAACAACTGTTATGGGACCACCTGGTCCTCCTGGTCCCCCTGGTCCTCAAGGACCCCCTGGACTCCAGGGACCTTCTGGTGAGTTTCTCTGTCTTTTCACTCCTCTAGGTTCCTTACATATGTTTTAGTAGAGCAGGCATGTATGATCCTGAAAAAAGTTTCAAATGGAAGTTGCAGTGTTGGTGTGAAGATATCCTAGCCCAGTAGAAATGTAAATTGAACAAGCCAGTATATCCTGCCTTCTCTAATTTTTTTGTCCTTGTCCCACCTCATCCCTTCCATCACACCTTCTCCCTGACTTTAGACTTCCCTGTCTATACATAATAGTAAACTCATATGAACTAGACACAGGGGCTCTGTGGACTAATTGGGAGTTCTCATGGAATAAGGGCTTGGTCTGCTCTGATTCTTAGCATCTAACTGCACATGTTGATGTTTGCATGGAAATGGATTGTGGGGATGAATGGTTGGAACTGGACAAAATGACAAGCCCTAGAACCGTTTTGTCCCATTAATTCTGAAGTACTTTTCTAAAGGATAAGGTAAGGCGTGATTAATTTGGAAAGTTAGAAATGTATGAGCCACTCAGCCTTTGCATGAAGCAAACCGAGGTGCCAAGACTGTGTGTGTAGGATCCAAATGTTTCTTGCACTAAATCCTAACCCCCACCACACTGCCCATTCATATGTCATTTAATCCCTTCACATCTTTCCCCTTGATCCCAGAATGGCATCCAACAGATATGAAGGCAAATTTAAACATGTCTAATTGGAGTTGGCAGGAGTCAAACTACTTGGACTTGTGTTAGTTGTTATATCTTTCCCCTTGCTGCAGTTCTGATGTGAGGCTTTAAAGAAATGGGCTATTTACACTTCATCTCTTTAGGCCCAATAATATTGTAGCAGAACTCAACTTTAGTTCAAACAGGGCTTATCAATCTCACCATGGTCTTTGGCACAAGAGATGGAATTAGGAGTTTTATCAATCTGTCATTTCTATTTCCCAAACTGAGTACTTTCTATGTGCAAGAGATATATGTTTGATGCTCCCTGTTCTCATAGAGTTTATATGCTAGAGGAAAAGAGAAAATGTTAAAAGACAAGGTAATTACCTTGTTTGGTAATGGGCTTTATGAAGAAAATTAATTAAAAGAGAGCAAAAGGCTAAAAGCGGGATGGTAGAGAAGCAAAAACCACTTTTTTTTTTCAGAAAAAAACACCAACACTGAATTGATTCGGACTCATAGGGTCTCTGTAGTTGTAAATCTTTACATAAGCAGATCACCTCATTGTTCCACCAGATGGTGGTTGACAGTTTTCAACCACCAACCTTGTGCTTCACAATCCAACACTTACCTGGCAGTGTCACCAGGGCTCCTCCAGAACTTTTAGCAATAAGAATGCCCTCTCATCTCTCTCCATGTGTGCCTAGTGGGTTTTGGTTTGGGCCAGCATTGACAAATGACCTGTTTCCCCGTTGGCTGGATCCACTAAAGATATAGGTCAGGAAGGAAAAGAAAGAGTGTCTTCTAACACTCAGACCCCTTTGTCGCTCTTTATCCTCTTGTACTGTCTTAACTGGAGAGTAAATTCAAATAGGTTGGTTGTAGTGAGCAAGGTTCACTGCCACTGGTTGCCTAGGTGGAGAGTAAGGGAAATAAACAGCATGCCCTCTGATTGTCCTGTCCTGTTTTGCAGGTGCTGCGGATAAAGCTGGAACACGGGAAAACCAGGTTGGCTGGAGATTGCTTTCTTCTTGGGGAACAAGGAAGGCTATAGGCTATTAAATTGGCTGAGACCTTAGTTTGTAAGAACACTCTGTAATTTCGAAGCTTTTCACAGTTTCCTCCCATCTGTAGGAGTAGAAAAGTTTGCTCCAGGGCACACCTTCAGATAAAGGAATTGAATCTTGCTAAAACCATTTTTCTTGACACCATAAGACATAGAGGGTCATAATATCCCAGCTCAGTAGGCAGTTGAAACTAGCTGCCAGACAGGCCTATTCACCTAGACTTGCAACTCCCCTGCCATCACAAAAACCGTTTCAGCACTCTGGCCACCTGCAATCTGGAGCTTAGATGCTTGAAAATATGTCCTGGAAAAAGAACCACCCAGCCCCAGTCAAGCCTAGTCAGAGCTTCTGCCTTAATAGTTGGGAGGGCTCCTAGTCTTTGAGCTTCCTAATTTGTCTTTATTGGCAGGTTCTTTTGCTTGACCTTATCTTATCGCAGTGAGAAATCTACACAGCTGCATGGTGCTTAATGGTTTGCAGGGAAATTTTTATATCCATCACCTCATTGGATCTTCAAACAAGTCAGTGAGGGAAGCCAAGCGTAGATTCTTCTGCTCCCCATTTTCCAGTTAGGGAAATAAGACTCAGGCATTATATTTGGCTACATAGCTGAGAAGTGGTAGAGCTACAAAATCATATTACCCTCTAATAGAAATGTGTTCACTGGAAAGAGAGAGGGATCAGAATTTGGTTTCAAAAGAAGGCTTGAAATCAGAAATGGAAACCTGAGAACCTGCAGTGAAGCAACATCCATTATTCACAGTGACCATTCTCTATCCTTCTCATCCTCCCAGCCAGCTGTGGTGCATCTACAGGGCCAAGGGTCAGCAATCCAAGTCAAGAATGGTAAGAATCGAAATAGGCTTTCTCCCTAAGAAGAACTTCTCTTCTCCCTCATGTTCAGTCTCTAAATAATCTAAACAAAGTCTCTAAATAATCTAACTAAACTGCCAAGCCCCTGAGGTACCCCTGGCATAATGGGCTATTCACTACTCCATATTGCCCTCTGCTGGCTATCCTGAGTAATTGCCTGCACCAAAGCCAACACCCAAATTGCATTTAGAATCGTCATGATGAAGCTGAAGAGAACTTGAGAGATCATGTAGCCTAAGAGTTGGGAAAGAGAATGCTTATATCAGTTGCCATGAAATATTTATAGTTTAATAATATTTGCACAATCTAAATTAGAGAAAAAGTTACATACAATTACATTATTCTTGTGTGATGGGTCTACACAGAAAATGGAGAAGGGATTCTTCTCTCTGGGGTTGGGGTATGTTAGAACTTCCGTAACCCACCCTATGGCAGTAAGTAGTAGTAATGTCTATCAAACGGGGAAAAGTTTAATAAGGTTCAGAACCACTGCTTTATTGCAATCCTTTCATTTAAAGAGTCCTGATGGTATGGTTGTTATGCATTGGGCTGCTAATGGCAAGGTCAGCAGTTGGACACCACCAGCCAGCACCAAGGGAAAAATATGAGACTTTTTACTCCTATAAAGAATTATAGTCTCAGAAACTCAGAGGGGCAGTTCTACCTTGTCCTATAAGGTCGCTATGAGTCAGAATTGACTCGATGATAGTAAGTTTGGCTTTCTTTAGTTACAAGATTAGGAAACAGAGTGCCAGAGAGGTTGAATAATATTGTAATAAACTATACTGCCTTGTACAAGTATTTGCATGGTACTTCACTCTTCAACGTGCTTTGTTTTGTATTCCCTTTGATCCTCACAACAACTCTATGAGGTAGGTAGTGCTTCCTCTTTATGGAAACAAAAACGGGAGCTCAGAGAGGTTAACTTGTCTAAGAATTCATTGTTGGTTAAATGTCGGAGCTAGGATTGAAAAACACTGCTGTCTTACTCTTTCCAATACACTTTGCTACTTAAGTGATATGTATATACTCCTCACTGAATGATTAGGTTTGTTTTCCTTTTCAAAGAGACTTGAACATTCATTAAGGAATAGAATTTTGAAATAATATCCATTCCCAAGGGTATACAAAACCTAAAATCCGTGAACCCCCAGAAACCTTGAAAATCAGCAATGAAACCAACATGTAAGATGCTTACCAATTTTGGAACTGGAAGAAGGGACTGTGAATGTAGAAGTAGTCATAGAATCCTACCACAATAGGCTATCTTCTAGGACCCCAGTCAGAGCTAAACTGGCTATTCTGAATTTCTCTAGTGATTGTGCTTAGCGGCTCACTTTCTACTCCTGTGAAGATTTACAGTCTTAGGAAATTCACAGGGGAAGTTCTACTCTTTCCTATAAGGTCACGATGAATCTGAATTGACTGGATGGCAGTCTGTTTGAGTTTTTATTCCCCTGAGTAATACCTGGAAGCCTGTCTAATGGCTTCAGAAACATAAATAGGAACAGAAAAGCACCAAAATCCAAGAGTCCTACTGAGGCCAGGTGCCATGTGCTTCAGGGAATCGGGTGGGCCATGATCACAATCTGTCCAGGGAGGACAGGAAATAGATTTGTTTGGATATATGGAGGGTGGCTTCAAGATTTATTCTGTGCTAGCAACTGCTGACTTTGCCACCATTACCGCATAACAAGATTGTTTCCCATTTCTCTGAGTCAATCCCTATTAGTAGCCTGAACTGACCCTTTTAGATCCACAAGAAACAAAAGTGGAACAATAGAAAATTGGGTGAAGGGAGACGTTGGACAGTGTAAGATATGACAAAATAATAATTTATAAATTAACCAGGGTTAATGAGGGAGGGGGGAGCGGGGAAGGAGGGGGAAATGAGGAGCTGATGCCAAGGGCTTAAGTGGAGAGCAAATGTTTTGAGAATGATGAGGGTAACAAATGTACAAATGTGCTTTACACAACTGATGTATGTATGGATTGTGATAAGAGTTATATGATTCCCTGCTAAACTGCTTAAAGAAAAGAAACAAAAGTGAGGGAATCGGATAGGAGAATGTCACACAAAGCAGTCCATAGTAGTATGGGATCTAGAACATCCCCTCCTAACTCATACCCCATCTATATATAATATCCAAGAAAGATGGTCTCCTGTTCCAGAAGGTCTCTTTCCTCATACCTCCTGAAACTGGCCAAGTATGGACATTCAAGACATAATTTCCTAGATCACAAATGGATGATTTAGAGGGGAAAAGGCCCTATATGCTTACTTTGTTCCCTCATGGTGGAAAAGATACATCCCTCTTCCTGCTGGATAGAAAAGGAAATCTCTCCCTCCACCCCCCCAACACACACACACACACACAATGGCCTTGTGCATGATGGCCCCCACCATCTAGCCAAGGTAATATCAGCTCCTCCACCCTTGACTAGGGTGCTTTGCCAAGGGTGCCTCAGCTTCTAGACACCCTTCCCTCTCCCCTTGGATGGTTCTAGTGTGCCTTTGCCATCTATTCCTGCATCTCATAAGGATCCCTCCCAAGTATCCCTCTCAAGAGATCCCTCTCACAAAGGTTAGGACAAGTGCCTTGTCCCTGGTAGGCACTCATTCTGGCTGCTACCGAATTCTGAATAATCTCTGATCCCTAAGTTTCTTCAAAGAGACAGTTTATTGTGCAGAGTAGTTTTACTGATGGCCTAGGAAAGCTTTCCATAAACGAGTGGATATGGAGAAACCATGAAAAGGAATCTCATAAAGAGAAAGAAAAATATCCATGAACCTATGAGATAGGAAAGAAATCGAGGAGCTCCAGCTGGGAAAGTGAAATTTACTAAGAACTTGCCTAGCGCTCAGTGTCTGCATTTGGCTTGTGCAAGGCCTTAGTACAACTCCCGCTCCCCATCTCCAAAAAAATCGGGGTAGAAGATGTTGGCTAAAGACTCTTACAGATGGGAGTGGTCAGGAAAGGAGAGGGGACAACTGACAGGTAAACCCCAGGAGGCCTGAGGCAGCCCTAGCAGCTGCTACAAACAAAATACCGTCCCTGCTTGCAAATGTGATTCTTTTTTTAAAAATTTGTTTATATATAATTAACATATCATACAATAGTTCAACATAGTAAATAGAGTTGTGTAATCATTACCGCAACCAATTTTAGAGCATTTTCTTCTTTGTTTTACTCGTTAGCTCCCCATTTCTCCTTAACCTCCCCTCCCACTGTCCCTAGGAAACTATTTATCCAGTTACTGTCTCGATTGATTTACCAGTCCTGGATTTCATAATTAAAAACCCTACAAAATTAAAACAACAACAATGATAAACTAAAACACAAAAACCCTCAATGGGAAAGAAAGCAGAAAAATTTTAAATCGAACAATTTTTAAGTGTATCAAAAGGAAGATAAAATGATAAGGTGTTACATTTTAACCCAACGGCATCTGCAATAATCCACTTTGCAATGCACACTGGATGATAGCACGGTTATTCACATACCTGGTCAGAGGGCCTTAATCCACATGGGGGCCCTGCAAATAGATTTTGAGCTTTGACTGTCATCCATAGCCTTTGCAAACCAGGTGTTCAGAATTAAGTTTCTAATAACATTCCCTCCTCTGGATTTGGATTTTATTATTTACAATCTTTGGATCGCCAGGCTGCTATAATTCTTCAAGGTGGTCTCAGATGACTGCTTGTTTTAAAACTCTATATTCTATTCTTTCTGATAGCCAGAAACCACTTGATTAGTGTTTTCTTTTTTTTAAACTATTTTATTGTCATATAATTTACATATCATAAATTTAATTGTTCAATTATATTGAGATGAGTTGTGTAATCACCACAACAATCAATTTCAGAACATATTCTTTCTTGTACTTGTTGACCCTTAATTTCTTCAAACTTACCCTACCATGCCCGTAGGATATTATTAATTCCGTTACTGTCTCCATAAACTTATGTATCCTGGATTTAATTTACAGAGAATTATACAAAACAAAAATCAAAAACAGATAAACAGAAACAAATCCCAGTAACAATAACTAAGTAAAACAGAGGAAAACCTCAATCAAAGAGAAAATATTAAAAACTGGAACAACTGTGAAATGAGTTGAAAGGGAGATCAAACGATAAGATGTTACCATTTAACCTAGTTGCTGTTGGGATAAGATTGGAGTTAAATACTGTTTGCTATTTCTTACTTCTATGACCCAGATCTTTCTGACATGTACTGAGTGATTGCCCTTCTCTCATACTGAGATCTTTCAGGTGGAGTGCTCAATGACTGGTCTCGCATCACTATGAACCCCAAGGTGTTTAAGCTACATCCCCGCAGTGGGGAGCTGGAGGTACTGGTGGACGGCACCTACTTCGTCTATAGTCAGGTAGAAGTGAGTACGGTCTTAGGCCTAACTCTTCTTATGTCCAAAATGTAGATCCCATGCAGGCCACATAGGGCCATTGTGGAGCCAGCCAAAATCAGCCAATGGCTAACTTCCTGCTTTGGCGGCAGGAGCTGGATGGGCAGAATTGCAGAGGGGGGGAGTTGAAAGGAGGAAAGATTTGGTGTGGTTTCTATTCTTTTCCCTAGTCAGATGTCATTTGAAAAACTGAAAAGAAGCCCCTCTCGAATATTGTTCTGGGTGGGTTCCTCCTTGTTTCCCCGTCTAAGCTGTTTGATTTTTACTGCCAAACTTGAACTTGGTCTCAGTAGATTCTTTGAAAGTCAGTTCCAGGCTGGCTCAGAAACCCTCCCCACAGCATTGTTACCTGGGATATAAGTGTTCCTGCAACTTTCTCTCCTCTTCAAAAAAATTTGTCTTTCTGTCCTCCCATTTTCTCTTCTGTCTCTCTACCGCTTTCTCTTTTCTGCTGTCACTGTCCCAGCCCTTGTTTTCATGCCTGGGACTCACTCCCCAGGCCTTTCCCTAGTTATTTGCCTCCCCTGAGGTGGTTCCTCAGAGCTAGAGGTAAATGGGCCGTGATGTTGAGTCTTTTGTGAGGCAGACAGCAAGCAGGTAAGGGTGAGGACTGCAAAGCCAGCAGATGGGTCTCATAGGCCAGAGAAGGTGGGCTAACAAGTACTTGCATCCTGGCATAGTTTGGGTCCTAACTCAAGATATTATATGGCACCTGAGTACACGGCTCCCTTCTGAAACGCCTGTGGAGGTAGTGGCCTTTTATAAAGTGGGTTAAGGTGGGGTGTGAAGATCCATAACCCCAGAGGACAAGTGGTAAATGCCCACTGGCTAAACTCTGTCTGGCCTATGATGGGGAGGGGAGGGTCATCAAAGCTTGATAGGAGTTGTGAAGAATAGAAAAATTCATTTTCTGAATCTCAAAGTTAATTAAGAGTGGCTTCAGGAGCAGGGAGGTGTAGGAGATTACACATTGGGCTGCTAAACTCAAGGTCATCAGCAGTTTGACTCCTTCAGCTGAGCTGTTCGGTGGGGAAAGGATGAGACAGTCTACTCCTTTAAAGATTTACAGTCTAGAAAATCCAGAGGGGCAGTTCTACTCTGCCATATAGAATTATTATAAGTCAGAATTGACTCAATGGTAGTGAGGTTTGTGTTTGTTTTGTTGTTTTTAGTTTTCAAACTATAGACACCGTGCAGGTGAGAAAAATCCCCATGAGGCTACTGAGCACACTGGGAAACAAGTATAATTAAGGACTGGGCTTCACACTTTAACATTCTGTATATCATTTGGTGGATAACTCTCCACCTTCCTGTATGTGTTTTCTCCGTCGGCACACAGAGGGCCAGAGGACACTGAGAAAATCTGTGAGAACAGTTCAGCTGGGCAAGACTGGGATGGGGAGGATCAGGGGAAAGGATCTAAGCTAAGTAAATTTTCTTAAAGAGCTACAGAAATGGCAAGTTGTTAACTAGAATTCACTAAATCAGTGACTCCTAACTTTGTACTTAAACAAATTCTCCTTGTGGTTGATTTGAAACTGGAAGTCAA